TCAAATATCTAGACACCAGGTTTAGATTTCTCACAGCCCAACCCAATTTGAGCCCAGATCAATACAAAGCCCTTGACGAATTAAAATCCAAACAGGATATCATCATCAAACCTGCTGATAAAGGCAGTTCTATAGTGATCATGGATCGAGCACAATATATTTGGGAAGGAAATAGACAATTATTAAATACAACTTATTATTCCAAATTAGATAAACCTATATTTATGGATACAATCCCTATGATAAATAAAATTCTAGATAACCTATATAAGAAAAAATTTATTAATAAAAAACAGCTTACTTACCTGACGTGCTCATCCGAACCCAGAGTCAGACGCTTCTACCTGCTTCCTAAAATTCACAAAGAACCTGAGAAATGGAGCAAACCTTACCAAATTCCTCCAGGGAGACCCATTGTCTCAGACTGCAGCAGCGAGACATATGGAACAGCAGAATATATTGATCACTATTTATATCCCTTATCAATTATACACCCTAGCTACATTAAAGATACTTATGACTTTATTAATAAAATAAAAAACATCACTATACCTGAGGGCTCCATTCTCTTCACCATGGATGTAGACAGTCTCTACACCAATATTGATATTGGGGAGGGCATTGAGGCTGTCAAAAACCTTTTCTTCTGTCACCCTGACAGCAGACGGCCTGACAGGGAGCTAATCCAACTCCTTGAGATCAATCTTAGGAGAAATGATTTTGAGTTCAATGGTCAGTTCTCTCTCCAGATCAAAGGTACAGCTATGGGAAAGAGATTTGCTCCGGCCTACGCTAACATTTTCATGGCCGAATGGGAGGCAGCAGCATTAGATAAATGTCATAAAAAACCGCTTTTCTACTACAGATACTTGGACGACATCTGGGGTGTTTGGACACATTCGGAGGATGATTTTAAGGACTTTCTCGACTCCATCAACACACACAATCCATCTATCACTCTGAAATCCACCACTAGCGTTAAAGCTGTGGACTTCTTGGATACAACCACATATATAGGCCCACAATTCAGCACAACAAATAAATTAGACGTTAAAGTCTATTTCAAGCCCACTGACACACACGCATTATTATTTAAAAGCAGCTTCCATCCTAAACACACCTATTCTGGACTAGTAAAATCACAATTACTCAGATTCCATCGCATTTGCACTCAAGAATCAGACTTTTTGGAAGCCACCAGAACCCTTTTCAGAGCCTTAAGCCAGAGGGGTTACAGCAAAAGCTTTCTCCGCAAATGCAGAGCGTCCTTCCTTCAGCTTAGACCCCCAGATGCCGCTCCGGCCATCCCTCTGATCACCACCTACGCCGCCTCGGCAGGTCAGCTGGTCCATAATATTAAAAACAATTTTTCTAAACTTCAATCCAGCACCCAAATTCTCAATAAGCATAAGATCATCGCAGCCTACAGAAAAAACAAAAATCTGCAGGACTTCTTGGTGAGAGCCAGGGTTAAACCGCTCCATCCATCCAAGGTCAAAGGTCATAGTGACTTTTTCAAACAGCTTAATTGGATCAGAAACAAATTCAACAACACAGTTTACCAATTAGACTCATCTGGACACCCCAAAACAAAAAACTGTGTTTATTTAATTAGCTGCAAGACCTGTCAGAAGCAATATGTGGGAGAAACCAGCAACTCTATTCTCACCCGCTTCACACAACACAGATACAACATATACCGAAAAAAAGACACACACACATTGCTGGTTCAACATTTTATTTTGCATGGATGGAAGGCCCTAACTGCCACCATCCTTCAATCCAACAACACATGGTCCACGGCCCAACGTAGAAGAGCTGAACGCATCTGGATCTCCAGACTAAGCACTCTGACCCCATCAGGCCTTAATGAGAAGTAGGCCCCTGGGGGGGCTGGCGCAGAGGTGCCTGTGCACAGGGGGATCTGTTGCCTCGGTGGCGGATCCCTCTCCTTTTCAGAATCCCTAACCCACACTATAGATTTTATGCCTGAACCTAAGTTGAAATTTAATTCTGACTGTAATCTGATTTCCTAAGATGATTCCGTAACCCTGACTCCAATTTCCTAACTCTAAGCCCTGGATTTTATAACCCTAAACCTAATTAGAAATTTAATGCTGACTATAATCTGAATCTTAAAAATTATTTCCTAACCCTGACTTCAATCTCCTAACCCTAAACCCTAGATTTTATAACCCTAAACCTACTTAGAAATTTAATACTGACTGTAATCTGAATCTTAAAAATGATTTCCTAACCCTGACTTCAATCTCCTAACCCTAAATCCTAGATTTTATAACTCTAAACCTAATTAGAAATTTAATACTGACTGTAATCTGAATCTTAATAATGATTTCCTAACCCTGACTTCAATCTCCTAACCCTAAACCCTAGATTTTATAACCCTAAACCTAATTAGAAATTCAAACCTGATCCTAATCTGATTCTAATTCTAAATCCTATATTGGACATTTTACCCTTATTTAAATCTAATCCTAATCTTAATCTGATTCTAAAAAAGCTCATTTAAACACAAAATTAAAAAGACTGCCAGGGAGAGCTAGGAACAGTTGATGGACTGTGCACTCAAACTCGAATTTAATCTTGTTTTCCCCTAACCCTACACCTAACCCATACTGGTTTTAATTAATGCTATATACCAATTCCCTTACTGTAGTTCCCATATAACTTATTTTCAAGCGACTTTTCTCATGACCTTAAAACAAAACCATGAGTGAAGCAGTAATACCGATAGATAACCCCAGCCCCAATTTAGATTAGCCTTTATGTCATGCCTTGGTCTCACACTCTTTGTGTGTGACTTGGACATGACATCCTTGACCCTAGGGCTGTGCTGTGTATGGAGCATAGGATCAAGTCCCCCCTCCCCCCCTCCACCCCCCCTGGCGCGGACGACATATGACCCAGATCTTCAGCCTTACCTGGGCAGGTCGGAGTAACCTAACGGTGTCAACAACCGACCTGCTTACCGAAGGGTACTGGGTAAGGAGGTAAGTATGCGGCCCCCTTGAGTTCCACTATCGGAACAAAGCACACAAGGTGTGGCGGTCCAGGGCTAAGGACCTTAATCGCAGCCCAGTCTTCTATGGGGATTAGCCCCGGCAATGCACAGCCCACATCTACACCACACACGTGTAATCTGAACTTTTTCCCTTTTAACCACAATTGGAGTCATACATCCCCTAGTCCAGCTTAGGTGACTAGGCCGAGGGTGCAACGGGACGTAGGTTCTTTTACAATGCTCCATCGGGTATTGATCTTGATGGTCTCATCTTGATGGTCATATCGACCTTGCCGTATAATTTTATATTAAGTCAATGGGTCCCATGCCGGACCTTGACCTTTGACCTTTCATTGTAGATTTTTTCACTAAGGTAATGGGTCCTAAATCGGACCTTGACCTTTGACCTTTCGTATTTTTTTCTTCTTTTATGCTGTGATTGACTTAGTTTTAGATTTCTTTAAACCTAATTGGCTATTGGACACACAGCAGGGACTGATCATCCCTGTCTGGGCCGTCCTCGAGTGAGGGTGTCTAGTGATAATGGCCGAAACACCCGATGATCTTGAGGTCCACTACTGATGATGTGTTCCAAAAATTCCTTTTATTTAGTTTAGACTATTTTGTAGTGTCCTTTCTACCTCTACTGAATGATCAACGCTTGCCTTAACCATGTACTCTGACTTTAATCTTATGGAGGAATATTGGATGGTATTGGGACCTGTTAAAGGGCCTCTGTGATATCCTATTCTGTAACTCCATCCAACAATTTTTATTTATTTTTTTAGAATGTCTTTGCTGTGTACTTCCTACCCGGGCCAAACAAAAGGAGATGAGCTCTTGAGTGACATGCGTCGGCCAGTGCCTTGCCTTTGACTCCCTGAACCATACCTTTTTCGGTCAAACGACTGATTGAGGGGGATGTCATCGTGACACTATTCCTACACCTAACCCTAACCCTATTTAAATGAACAGTCCTGATCAAAAATAACACCAACGTTTTTTACTTTATTGTCTGAGATCAATTTAATCCCATCCAATTGTAGTGACTGACTAATCAGCTTCTTCTTCAGAGTCTGATCCAAAGACAATAACTTCTGTCATAAAATGACAAAAGCATGTTATTAGATACATATGTTGTAGTCATAAAAAACATTTTGATTTAAAACCCTTTCATAGTTTTATATCTTTTCTCAAACATCTGTACATACTCTGGAAAAAGGCAATATTTTCTCAGAACTCTACGCACATTCAAAAAAGTACACGATCTTTAAAACCCCTAAACTTATGAAAAATCATTTACATTCAAAACAATATGAATTTCTCTCAGAGTGCTATTTTATTTGCCAAGGACACAACAAAAGATTAAATCAATAAATATTTATAAAAACCATTTGAACAGAATGACTTTGACTTTTTTCTAATCAATTTTGAGTACAGTCAGGCAAACTGCTTTTAGAACTATGAACAGCACTGCTCCTTGTGAAAACAAACATTTTCCTTATGATTATTGGGCTAATTGCATGACAATGTTGTGTGGAGTTTTGAAAAAAAAACAACAGTTTTTTAAAACTACTAAGAGAAGAGAGTAGAAAAACATTAAAGCTGGATGCCCTTCCTCCCACCACCAGGATTTTAACCAAGGTCCCCATATGGCAGTTACATTGTAGAAATAAGTTGATGAAAATTTTACATAAACAATTATATATACAGAATTTGTACACAAACATAGGGGCATGCTACAGTATCATATAAAAGGAGACTGGAATTTATTTTTGAAAAAACAATCCCATAAATCCTGTGGTTACTTGGTGATGCAAGCAGATTGTCCAGAGCTGGTCCTTCAGTAGATGATAACTGTGGTGCAACACACCTGCTCTTATACATTTCTGTGCAGTTTTTTTATATTTTTGTCCAACCATAAAAAGCCGCCATAGTGAAGTGATTTCTGTGGAGTCATATATGAATGACTTGCATATTAAACTGTTTCAGCTGGAGCTATCGTCTTGTCACTATCCATGCTGCTCATCTCCTGATTGCTGGACATTTTGCAAAAACACAGCGATGCTAAAAACTTGTCCAGAATGCTTTTCCGAATCAGCATATAGAAAATTGTGTCTGCAAGTGGACTTAAGTAAATACAAACAATTATAACAATCAGAAGAATCAAGTTGTTTTCTATCAGGTACCAAATAATAATGGGCAAAAATAGCAGAGTATAAAGAAGCAGCACTACTACCAGAATAGTTACAATTCTTCTTTTCTCATCTGCCGGAACACTATGAGCTCCAGACAGTGCTTTGATAGTCCCAATTAAGAAAGCAATGAACAAGGGAAATGGAAAGAGGAGAAATATTACAATAATATATTTATAGATCTCATTGTTTGGAATGAAATAAATCAGTAGCATCACAGGAAGAGGGAGGATCCAGACCAAAATACAAACTGAAGCAGATGTTTTGATGTTTCTCCTGAATTTGTACCATAATGGTTTAGCAATGACCATATACCTGTAATAAAAGACAGAATGATGTAATATTTGGAATTGGTACAGACCAGGCACAGACTATTGGAGAGAGTAACATAGTCACCTTTCAACTGAGATACATATCATGAATCCGACACTGACCAATAATCCCCAAACAAGGAATAAACCAGGGATGATTTCATCTCCAGATACACTCATTGGAATCCTGCTGCAGAGCTGAATTAGATCAGAAATGAAAAGGTTCATGACGTACACCGACGCACCTTGGTCCTTTTTAAACTGCAGAAAAGAAAGAAAAATATTGAGCAAGAATGTTAACATACCAATGAAGTAAGAGTAAATGAGTAAGAATAAGTTCTCTACATGAAAACAGAATAAGTTCCTGAGGTGAGAGAAAAATATATTTTTGAAGGTAAATCCATTACGACTAATACATTTACAAAGTTACATCATACTAACCTGTGCAATAATTGCCATAATAAGCACCAGGGTCAAAGGAAGTCCGATTGCAATGGTGATCCAATTTACCCACTCTAAGAAGAGCTCTGTATCAAAGTCATCATTCTGGTCAGTCTTATTTATGTTCTCGCTGTAGTTGAAGCTTATGTTGCTGTAATAGTAATTGTTATCCCATGATGTCCAATTGATGTGGAAGGATTCCATTTTTCAGTTATGAGAGTTTTGAAGACAAGGGTAACTGCAAACATAGGTAATGATGGTTTAATTTCATCTTATTATAGTCTTAGTTTAGTTTAGTATAGTCAAGTTGTTACATGTATATATAAACCATGATTTATGTCATGTTGCTGTGTTTACCTCACATGAGCAGTCTGAGCATGAGTAGTATTTTTGTCAGTGGTACGAGTCAACCCCACATTACTTCAGTTTGGGCTAGAAAGATAATATTCTCAAAGGTTGAATCTAGTTATGAGTATGAGACTGAACACCACCATTTTTTTTTGACAGGTTTTGCAGGGAATGAACGTAACAGCGCTAAGATTGAATGTCAGCTTTGTTAAAAAAAGCGACTATTCAACTTCTTGTTGCGGCCTATGACCGCATAAGGTTAGACTTGTCATTCCTCAGCTACAAGCTACCCTAAGTATCAACCAAATCACTCCAAAGAGGTCTGTGCTTTCTGTATGATTCAGACTACCTTTCCTACAATTCAGAAGGAGCTAATCATAGTAACCATTTTTTCGTGCAATTCAAAAGTATTTGAACGTAGTGTTGTGAATCTCACTTGCTGAAGCAGATGAGAGAGAGATAGACTCGAGAGCTAGCAGACGGAACAGTTGGGCCCAATTTCTGCTTTCAGAGGAGCCGTTAGAAACAGCTGAACCATGCCATACTGATCCTGCTGCTGACTGAATTTGCCGCTGCTGCCTGAGCCACCGCTGCCTGAGCTGCAGCCACCGGGCAACTGCTGTGGCTGAACGGGGGGCGTCCTGCTTAGGGTTACTGTGAGTTATAAATTAAGGAAAAAGGAACTCTTGTTATTACATTAGATTAATCCAAATCTCTTTGAGAGCTGCTGTTGGACAAATGGACTTGATTGATGTTGAAAAGTTGAAAAGTCTGTTTCACTCCACTGAGCCAAAATAGTAAAACCATAATCCCTCTTTTCAACTAGATAGTATAGAAAGTTGTGGTTGTGTTTGAGTTTTATCTGAAAGAAGCTTTCTGATTCAACTGCTGTTGGTTTTAAGAGTTCTGAGCTGAATGCTAGGACTCATTGAGCTGACTGTACAAATAACATGGTGTTATCATATGTGTCTGGAGAAACTGCTACAGTTGACTGCTTAGCAACGTAAGCACCCAGCTTCCTCATCTCCGGCCACATTGTAGAGGCCATATTTTCAGTTCTAACTTTTTTAACTTTGTTTCAGCGAGACCTGTCCATGCCAGACCTCCTAAGCTTTCTCTTTCAGCTTCATTATAGTTTAATGCATTCCTGTCATTTTTCACTGTAAAACCATATGGAACTTCACTGTTTTGACTTCATTTAAAATCTCTGAGTCAGCATTTAGTCACATTGATCTGCCGCCATTTTAATGGACACCCTAAATGTATTAAGCCCTAAAACTGAAACTTGAACAGACTTTTCCCTCTTTTATTTGCTTCATTTACACATGCTTATTTCCAGTAGTGTTAAGTGTTTGTAAAGTTATTTGATATAATAATACTGTGTTAGGGATTATTGGCTAATAAATGTGCCATTGTATTTTAACCAATGGTCTTTTGTCTTTATTTTATACAGTGAATGGTTTATCACTCTGGCCAGATTCACTCTTCTATCAGCAACATCTTAAAGGCAGTGACACATTAGTTTGGTTGGTAATTAATAACTCTGCTGATAACCATAAATTACTAAATTGGTGAAGGTAAATGGATATTAAACAATCGGTCCAGAAGTCAAACCTTTTATCTAAAGGACTAAGAACCCTGGTGAGTAAGCCAAATAATATAAGTTATAATTATTCAACTAATAATCATGACTTGGTTTTACGACCTATTAATTAATTATAACTTCCAGTTCAAGTTATTTTATATATTCATAATCTTCTGGTACATTTGCACAACAGACACAGGGAGATATAACTACAATGGCCATTCAAACCTTAAATCAATGTTAATCAATTAAAAAAACAAAAAACTTTGGTCATATCCTTTGGTCATGCGACCTCAAGAGAAACCCATGTCCCAGCAGCAATAAATGCCACATGCAACATCCAGTTTGACAGCTCACCAAGAAAAAAATCCAATCCAAGAGGTTTAAAAAAACGTAGGGGGAACAATCCATCCCAGATCTACTAACAATATATATATATATTGGACCTGCCCAAGCCAGACCTCCTAAGCTGACCATTTCTCTTTTAGCTTCATTACGGTTTAATGCATTCCTCAGTCATTTATATATATCCAATATATATACAGTTATATAGATGTTACATCTATATATATCAATATTATCTAATTAGATTGTTATTAAATTGATTTAATCAATATTGTGTAGCCTTCTATTAACTACCATTTCTACTGCTTGAGTGATATCTTGCATGGCTAATTTTTCATTTGACTTGAGTAAAAATATGGTGTATTATTCATTTAACTTCAGTACATATTTAAGAAACCTCTGCCATATTGCAAATTACTTTGAATTATACCTTCTAAACATTAGGGTCATGCATGTTCTTGAAAATCTAGTTATAGAAACTAAAGTTATGAATAAGTTGCTTTCAAAAGCATGCCTCCTCAGCATCAGTACCGCAATCTTAACTGCAGAATGACAAACCTGAGACGTAACTATATTTCTTAAATGTGCAATATTATAATCAGTCATAATCATACAAATATATAATTTACCTTTTGTCTTCCCAAACTTAGTTGCGTTTATTCAGCCATATCAATCATTGCCAAAGGTCTGACATCCATCTAACTGGTCAGCTGGACAGCGATATATGGTTCTGAGACCATATCCTATGTTGATTCTGTAACCCTTACATGAAAATGAGTCAAAGAAGTTAAGTGATCTCTCGAATTAAATTATCTCGCTGCATTATAGGTTTTAATGCCTTCACTGGAACTGAAGCTGCATGTAGTTGAAATTCATAAAATCGATAATGTGTCCTGAAGCCTAATGGACTTTCAACTAACATCACCATGAAAGCCTTTTTTACCCTTTATACAATGTTGTTTTCTGTTTGGTTGTCCAGAAATGGATTTTTAGATAATTATTTATATTGTTGTTAAGCAATTCTTCTACATGCCGAGGTTTTTCCTTGAGGACTTGAGGTATTATTAAATGTCATCTGTTAAGCCCACATCAGACACTCAACCTTTTTGGGGTTTATAAGGTCAAAGTGCTGCCAGACAATTGACCAGGCCCTTTTTTGCACTGGCTCCCCTTCCATGTCCCTTCCAAATCTTGACTTTCTCTTCTTGATTCTGATACTGTTTAAATACTTGACGAGTAGTGTTGAAACACCCAGATTATTCTAATTTCCAGACTTAACAAATGACTGCAAACATATTTATTTGAAGCAATATGGTTTGGTAAGCGATGAGCAGCATTTCTGAAGAGGAAGTGAATTTTCTTTATATTTAATTTCTTTTTAAACCTTTCCTTTAGTAATTGTAAAATACATAACAGAAGTATTAATTTCAAGGAAAATATCTCCTTTTCTTGATAAACTTTTGAGAGAGCTGTTTCATGGTGAATTGTAGTTTATGTTTCTGGGGAAATACACTACTCAAAAAAATTAAAGGAACACTTTGTAATCAGAATATAGAATCAAGTTAATTAAAGCTGTGGGATATTGATTTAGTCAGGTCAGTAGCAAAGGGGGGTGTTAATCAGTTTCCACTGCTTTGGTGTTAATGAAATTAACAACAGGTGCACTAGAGGGGCAACAACGAGACGACCATCATAACAGGAATGGTTTTACAGGTGGAGGACACTGAAATTGCATCCCCTCCTCGTCTTTTTTGACTCTTTTTCACCAATTTTGCATTTGGCTAGTGTCACTGTCACTACTGTTAGCATGAGGCGCTACCTGGACCCTACAGAGGTTGCACAGGCAGTCCAACTCCTACAGGATAGTACATCAATTCGTGCCATTGCCAGAAGGTTTGCTGTGTCTCCCAGCACAATCTCAAGAGCATGGAGGAGATTCCAGGAGATAGGCAGTTACTCCAGGAGAGCTGGACAGGGCCATATAAGGTCTACAACCCACCAGCAGGACAGGTATCTGCTCCTTTGTGCAAGGAGGAGCAGGAGGAGCACTGCCAGAGCCCTTCAAAATGACCTCCAGCAGGCCTCTGGTGTGAATGTCTCTGACCAAACAATCAGAAACAGACTTTACGAGGGTCCCCTGAGGGCCTGTCGTCCTCTAGTGGGCCCTGTGCTCACTGCCCGGCACTGTGGAGCTCGATTGGCATTTGCCACAGAACACTGACATTTGCATGTCCGCCACTGTGCTTTTCACAGATGAGAGCAGGTTCACCCAGAGCAATTTTGATAGGAAGTGAAAGGGTCTGGAGAAGCCGTAGAGTACGTTATGCTGCCTGTAACATCATTCAGCATGACCGGTTTAGTGGTTGGGTCATTGATGGTCTGGGGATGCTGGTGTAGTGGGTCCTGGGGTCCTCCTGGTGGACAACAATGTGGCGAGAGTATGCAGGCAGTTCCTGGAGGATGAAGGAATTGATACCATTGATTGGCCCCCACGCTCGCCTTTCCTAAATCCAATAGAACACCTCTGGGACATTGTTTCCATCCACCCGACGCTGCAAGGTTGCACCTCAGACTGTCCAAGAGCTCAGTGATGCCCTGGTCCAGATCTGGGAGGAGATACCCCAGGACGCCATCCATGGTCTCATTAGGAGCATGCCCCGACATTGTCAGGCATGCATACACACACATGGGGGCAATACAAATGACTGAATACCATTCTTAGTTGCTGCAATGAAATTTCAGCAAAATGGACTAGCCTGCTGCATCATGTTGTGTTTAATGTAATTTTTGGGGTGTGTTTGAATTCAGCCCTCTGTAGGTTGATTATTTTCATTTCCGTCAAATAATGTAGCATCCTTTTGTTCCTAACACATCACCCAGTCCATATCAGTATAAATAAACAGCATGATTTTTTTACCCCATTGAG